TTTATACAACTTTTCAGTAAAATCAGACGTTTTGATTGGTTGGCTTTCGTGTGTTATCAAAGTATAGATACACGGATTACGTCAAAACTAATTGTTTGTTGTATAAAACAGATAGATCTCATTTTTCCGTGTGTGTGTACTCTAATAGATACACAGATTACGTCAAAATGAGAAAAATGAGATCTATTTGTTAAATGCACAGATTATATTTACATAATGTCACATGCAAACTTGTGTCCAGTCCTTGCGTCGCTATGGAAGTTATTTCTCTCACACTCTCCAGTCTCTATGCTAACTAGTCCATTACAAGAGAAATACAAATTGCATAACAAATCACCCAATTTGGCTATAGAAACTGTGGATAGCTGTTTTGACTTGTATGAGCCCTATTTAGCACAGTGCATCTAGTTAGCTGGTCAGGCATATAATCAATAAATTTATCACGAACTGATAGACAAGCTTCTCAACATTYGAAAAAAACTTAATATTCCTTATGCATTTTATGCAGATACAACAATTCGTGACGATACTGACAGCTCGGTCTCCTTCTCTTCGACTGTCGCATTGTTTGCAGGATTTGATAGGATTCCTAAACCGAACCCAAGACGCACCAWTCGACTTGGTCTTCGGTCAGCAGTTGCTCTTTTTTGGACATGCTTGTTTCTCTCCTGCATCAACTGGGATTGAAGAGCTGCTACTTTGTTGACAAGTCGTTCGATCTCACCCTGTGATAAACGAAAGTAAATGAGTAAAGGAAAGAAAGAAAGAATAAATGAATGAATGATTAAAGCAATAATTAGTTATGATTAATGATTTATAAATATATGACCAATGAATGAATGAACCGAATAATCAATGAACTRTCAATGAAGCTATTTTTACTTACCCTAAATTCCTCGTATTCTATCGTAACTGGTGTGTCATTCGTATTGGAATAGAAWCGTTCATTTGTGGGGTTTTGRCATGGTGTATTACAGGCGCTGGCAGTGTCATTAGTAGTTGCACGGTTCTTGCGAATATGTATTACCTTAACA